GTAAATTAAACTTTATCACGGGTAAATACATAGGACAAACAGAAGTTTGTACTCTCTGAGACTTTAGGCACAAGGAGGCTTTGGGGTGTATTCCCACAGGCAGAGAAGACCTATTCTAATCGTTTCTCACACATTTAGAATAGTGTTTATTCTGCTTGTGTGTATACTGTGGGTGGTGTACGTGTGCGGTCTGTGCACATCTGTATAAATGCAAATGCAGAGACCAGAGAACACCAGACACCCTGCTCTATCTCTCCATCTTATTCCCTTGAGACGGTATTTTCCACTGAACCTAGAGCTTGGCTGGCCGCCAACCATAATCCCCAATAATCCTCCTGTCTCCACCCCCCACAGAACAGGGTTATAGGTGTGTACACAGCCACACTCAGCTTTTTATGTAGTACCTGGAATTCTAATTCGACTCTCAGACTTGAGCAACAAACGATCTGCCCACTGAAACATCTTCCTGGCCCCTTTTATTGAGCTATAATGTTTTTAGTATTAATACTGATCACAGTATTACTTTTGAGGAAGCCATTCTTGTCTATAAATTAATTAGCTTGGGGTTTATATAGATTACCTTCCTCCCTTTCAGGACAGTTGGGCTCCCTACTATAAAGAGCACAGATTACCTTGTATACCTGCTTTATGCGTTGTTCATGTGTGTAGGAAGAGATGTCACTATTTGTATATTCTACCAAGCTACATGAGGAACACCCTTATGAGTTTGGAAGAGACATTTTTTACTTTTTGCAAATTAGAGATGAGAACATGTACACACACAGGAAGCACACGGAAATACCCTCTACAAAGCAGACAGGGACTTGGGAGCCCCAAAATCCAGTCTCTCCTCAAGGGCTAGGTTTGCTGTTTTTTGTGGGGGGTTTAAGTCTTTGGAGTGCCTCCCCCATGCCACACTGTTATAAACTCTCCAGGCAGACCAACCAATCCATCGGCTGGGTTCCCTACAGGCAGGAAGAAAAGCCCATACGGCCTTTCTTTGTGTTAAACCACCAAGGCTTTGGTCTCGGGTCTGGAAAGTGACCTTCTTATCCAGAGAGCTGACTTGTGTTTGATGGGAAACTGCATTTAATGAGAAAATAGAATTCCTATAGGCTGGGGCTTGAGGAAGGAGGATGAACCACATCCCTGGACTGGAGTATCAGCCAACATCCAGACACTGCTTCCCTTCAACTGCCCCCTGGTGTGTGTCTCCTCTCTCTCTCTCTCTCTCTCTCTCTCTCTCTCTCTCTCTCTCTCTCTCTCTCTCTCTCTCTCTCTCTCTCTCTCTCTCTCTCTCTCCTCTCTCTCCTCTCTCTCCTCTCTCTCCTCTCTCTCCTCTCTCTCTCTCTCTCTCTCTCTCTCTCTCTCTCTCTCTCTCTCTCTCTCTCTCTCTCTCTCTCTCTCTCTCCTCCTTCTCCTCTCTCTCCTCTCTCTCCTCTCTCTCCTCTCTCTCCTCTCTCTCCTCTCTCTCTCTCTCTCTCTCTCTCTCTCTCTCTCTCTCTCTCTCCTCTCTCTCTCTCTCTCTCTCTCTCTCTCTCTCTCTCTCTCTCTCTCTCTCTCTCTCTCTCTCTCTCTCTCTCTCTCTCTCTCTCTCTCTCGTCACCTCTGATTCCCAGAGCTTGGTGTTTGTCCACAGTTCTCAGGGCTAGCTGTGGCTAGAAGGCCCAGAACTGCCGTGTGCAACTCTGATCTGTTTGTCGTTTGTTTCCTTCTCTCTGTTTTGCTCTAAAAATCGGTGGGGGGAGGTCTTCCCTAAGCAGTCAGGAGTCCAGCCAACTCCTTCCTGCGCACACTTTCCATTGTCAAGTTGGATTAGAACCCCCTTGTAGACAGCCCCACCGTCTCTGGGCTATCCCAACAGAAACACAGTTCTAAATTCATTTTTAGGGTGAATCAGATGACTCATGCTTGACAGTCAATATCCTGAAATGCATCTGTCCCAGGTTGCCTGAGCTCCTGGCACATTCGGCTGCCTCGATTGGTGCCCCCTAAGAGCACATGCCCCAGGTCTAAAACGTATGATGTCTTCATTCACATGTGGAGATTGACCGCATTTGTCATTTGTGAGCGACTCCCAATAAATACCTGACTTCCGAGAGAGAGAGAGAGAGAGAGAGAGAGAGAGAGAGAGAGAGAGAGAGAGAGAGAGAGAGAAGAGAGAGCTTGCTCCCAGTCCACCTGTAGTACCTAAGACCCCACCCAGAAAGGGCGGGTACCTCAAAGACTATTGGCTAAATAAGTTCCCACAACAAGTTTCATCGCTTGACTGGCTGCTGTGAGATATTTGTGCACTGCGTGAGGATACATTGCTGTAACTGGTTTAATAAAGGGCCGAATGGCCAATAGCTAGGCAGGAGGTGTAGGCAGGACTTCTGGGCAGAGAGAGGGGAAGAGGAGGGGACTTGCAGGGTCTCAGCCTTGACCGGGGGATGCATCTGGGAGGTCACCCATGCAGCCTGCTTCCTTGGGCTCCATTTTGTGACTCCTCCTAACAAGGCCACAGAAGGTGAACAGCTTCCTCAGTCAGAAATCTACACCTTTCAAAAGAAGAGATGGTGCCACGCCGTGAAATAAAATGTAGCGGGAACTGACGGAAAGGGGGTGTTGAAAACACTTATCAACGATTTTAAACCCTTGTGAAAATGTGAATAAGCCCCCCCCAGGGGAGATAGAAAATCACCCTAAATAGTATACGAATAGTTAGTCGTGAGACCACAGATCGTCATCCCAGCATTGAAGAGGCAAAGGCAGAAGGGTCAGGCAGGCCTATAGTCTGCCTCCCTAGCAAGACTGCCTCAAAAGCAAACAACAACAGTAATAAAAAACGGATGGCATAAAACATGCAAGCATACACCTATTAGAAGACAAAACTATCCCGAGGTACCCAAAGTTAAGATCGTTAAGGACAAAGAACGAATAAACAGCTACAGGGCTATCCTCTTGGCTCACAATGATTTGAGTCTCAAATGAAGTTGAAAAATCCTCAGCCATCCTAACTGCATTTCGTTTTGAAAAGCAGCAAGGAGAGAGGAAAATGCCTTGATAGAGAAATGTAGGAGCAGATGGGAAACAGCGTCCAAAATGAAGTCACATAAGTAAAAACCACCTTCAGAGGACGGAGTACTTAGCAGATTTAAAAGAAAGAGCTTGTCTTAGCGTCCTCTCCACGGTGTTCTGTGAGAGGGAAGTCAGTCCAAAGCGGTGTCTGCAGTATGCTCTTGCTTATATGAAGACAACACACCTCTCAAGAGGAAGCCTAAGAAGGAGCCTTGGTGCCTGACTCTGGGCGGGGCGCCTGGCGTGCCATCAGCGAGCGAGAGACACTTGACTTTTAGTTGATCGATCCTTCATAACCCTCTGGAAGTTTGTTCCACTCGCGCGCGTGTCACCAACTCCAGATTACATCACAACACAGGAAGCTTAGTGGATGCTGGGTCATATAAGGTGAGGAGAGAAACTTTGGCAAAGGAACTTAAAAGTCAGCATGAATTTGACTCCACAAAAGGAACGCTTGGAAGCCCTGAGACATTTTTAACGTGTGCCCAGTAGATTTGTGATACTTTACCAAATCAGGTTCAGAAAGCTCATTTTTTAAAAAACCCCTTTCTCCTAGGAACCTAATTTGAAATAACCCTTTGTTTTCTAAAGAAAACATGACTGGCCAATATTTTTCCCCAAGTTTATATATGTGTTTTTATTATTTTCCTTTTACTGAAGTGTTTAATAGTATATACTGTTTTTAATTTTTGAAAGTTCTCGTCAGAATCAGCTCTAAAAGCTATGTATATAGTCTTGTCTTCACAGTATATTATAGGATAAATGAGGGGAGAATTGTAGCCTTACGAGGCCCTGAATAGGTTGTTGTCAAACTTATGCAACATTGAACACCGTTCTCAGGAACTGAGTTCAAGACCTAAACCATGTGGTTAAGAGGGGTAGGAAATCAGCCCCCCATACCATCATGGATAGACCACTTTTCCAGTTGGGTTCAAGGCTGTTTGTAAGTCATACTCACGACAGAGATATGCTCAGTGGTGAAAGAAGGTGTGTTTCCAAGTGTAGTATCTGAAAACGGTTACTTAGATAAAGTTTGCTCAGGCTGCTAATTGTATATCAATAGGCAGGCTTTAGTACTTTTCATAGGGGGCTGCCCCCCTTACATCCCTCCTGTGGCTGCCCCCCCCCATGAACACCATCTTTTCTCTCCATGGTTCTAAGTAATGCTAAAACGATGAGCAGATAGCAATGGTCTGTCTTTGCTATGCTAACCCTGGGAATCCAGGCAAACCTAGTATATCATGAGAATTCTAGAGTGGGGTCCCTCTCCACCACCACAGTTACTTTTGGAAGGGCTACCATCAATGACGAACATGCCCATTGCCTGGTTTCAAAGTCTCCATCACCCAGACTCACAGGCTCCAGGAATGAGTGAGCAAGAGCTGGTCCACATCATGAGATGGACTGGATGATCTAGGTCAACATAGATCTACTTGTACTTCACTGGTGTAGAAACAGTCAGATGAGTGTGTCCTTGTCTCTCCATCCGTGCACACTCTGGTCTTCTCTGTGTTTGGGGAAACTCCCTGAGGGGGATGGGATTCACCTGGGGCAAAAGAGTTAGGTGTTATGTCCTGCTTTCTGGATTTTATTCTCCTTTAAAGACTTGGTGCTCTTCAGGGACAGTTTGGTGATTTGTATTTTAATGGCACCAGTTGGGGGTAGGATATCAGGGACTGCCTGAATTTCGACGGATAATACTCCCTTATGGGTAATGGTGTGTCAAGAAAAGCTTTAAGGTAGCCGATAATGCAGCCCTGTAGTCCCAGTATTTGAGAGACTGGCACAGGAGTTGTGAGTTCAAGGCCAGCCTGTATTACTGAATGAGTTCCAAACCAGCTCAGACTACAGAGCAAGACCCTGCCCCAACGGGAAAGAGGGAAGAAGAAAGACTCTAATCTGGTTTTCAATTAGGTTTGTCTTTTCTTTTGTATTCAAAGGTATGACCGTGGCGTTTGCAGGAACATATTTATTGGTGAATTTTGCTCCAAATATGTCCCAGGCTATCTCAGCAAGAACAGTACAGTATTACTTTGTTGGCTGGCAGTTCCTGGTCTATGTGGTAAGGGTTCTCAATATTTTCCTGTTTCTGGTGTACATTCTCTAGACCGCTGGTGGCTGCAGTGTCGGAAAACCCATGCAACCCTTTCTTCTCAGCCCAGTGACTTGCTAAAATGTAAACGGGTGCTACCAATACCTCAGGATCTGAGATATTAGAGAACTATTGAAGCATTTTCCAAAATGTCCTCATTGAGATCAAAGCAATAGCAATGGTGCAGTCCCAAGGGATGCAGGGTTGGGAGGGAGGGAGGGAAGGAGGGAAGGAAGGAAGAAAGGGAGGAAGAGGGGGAGGGAGGAGGGGAGAGGGAAGGAAGGAAGGGAGGGAGGGAGGAAGGAAGGGAGGAAGGAAGGAGCTGGTAAGTGGGCAGTTGAAGACATTAACTGAGATGTTTTATTGATTCAATGACTGCATCTGATGAGTATAAAGAAACAGTAGGCTTATGACTTGCTACAGAATGCAGCCGAGACTGAAAAAAAAAGAAGATTCTAGAATTGTCTAAGTGAGCATTTACCTAAGAACTAGTTCGGCAAAAATACTTGTACATTTGATAAAAAAGAATTGAAGCTTACAGACTCATACATTTTTAGGAGTAGAAGTGACCTCGAAAAGGCATCTGCTCTAGCTCTCTGATGTAGAAAAGGACTGTCCCAGTCTGCCAACTTGGTATCAAAAGCATGCTGTTGAGGTTTACAGGTTTTACAGGTGAACTTTGCCCCCAAGTATAAATCGGGCGCCTGTCACAGCAGTATACGTGACAAGATTTCTCTGACGGCTTCATCCTGGGCTCGTTGTGGGCTGCTCTGCACCTGCCAACCATGTATGCCTGCTTACACAACATACGCTACCAAGGCCTCCCAAAACGACCCTGCTCTAGTTTGCTTGTTTTTTCTATCACTACGGCAGACACCATGACCGGAAGCAAAGTGGGAGAGGAAATGGTTGCATCTGACTTGCAATTTACAGTGCATTGATCGAGGGAAGCTAAAAGCAAGACCCCAGAGCCAGGAAATGAAGAAGGAAGCGCGGAGGAACAGAAGAGCGATGCTCACCGCCTGACTTGCGATTGCTCTCTCAGCTTATCTTCTCACACAACCCAGGATCACACCTGCCCGGGGGTGGAACTGTCCACCCAAGGCTGAGTCCTCCCCATGGGCCAACCTGACGGAGGCGATTCTTCAGTCGAGTTTTCCTGCCAGGCACCTCTAGCCTGTGTCAAGGTGGTTTTAAAAAGCTAAGCCGGCACGGATGCGGTTGTTCACGCAGAACCCACGTCTTCCCAGGCCTCTCCCGACTCTGCATTCTGCATCCAGTCACCGCCCGTTCGTAACTCACCCCTTCCTGGGTTCCTCAGATGCAAACATCAGAGTCTGAACTCAGTGATTTGCCCGCAGGCTCTCTCATCTCTCGTCTTTTCTGTGTCCGTCTGCCGTGTTGGAGACCTGAGCTGCACGTGACTTCTCTCACATCTCGATACCCACTCTCCAACCCTACGCGACTGGGAGTCTCTTGAGCTTGACCCCTCTCTTGTATTCCCACTGGCATCGCGTTTGTCCAAACTTTCTTCATCTGTTTCTGGGGCCACCCAGCAGCGTCTTAACGAGCATGCCCCGCCCCCTGCTGGGCGTTGGTGGCGCACACCTTTAATCCCAGCCGAGGCAGAGGCAGGTGGATCTCCGTGAGTCCGAGGCCAGCCTGGTCTACAGAGCGAGTTCCAGGACAGCCTCCAAAACAATACAGAGAAACCCTGTCTCGAAAAAAAGCATGCCCCCCTTACTGATGACTATCATCAGGACCACAGCTACAAGCATCCTCCTGCCAGCAGCATACCTCGGAGCCCTTTTGCCGATGGTTCCTCTGACGGGAAAGTACCCTACTTCCTCTAACCTATAACTCGGTCACCTTGCAGCTCCCCGCAAAGTCATCTGCATGGATACAACTCTGACCCAGCCTCTTCTGCGGAAATGTTGCAAAAACGCTGGTTTCTCTGTTTGTTAGGCTTTATTTTTTACAATTATGACATAATTGCCTACTTACCTGTCCTCTGTCCCAGCAATGCGCTGCCACCGGAGAATTGTTGGTTAATCGGCCGGTCAACCGGTCCATCACTCAACCATGGCCAGCCTAAAGAAACACCTGTCTGTGATGTTGTTAAGCCTGGCTGCCACCTCCCAGCTCTTATTCAGCCCTTCCCAGCTCCCAAGTTAGCCTTCCTGGGGTCCTTCGGATGCTGCCTTCATCCCACCCTCTTTCCTATTTTCTTACTTGTCCGTCACCGTAGTCTTTTAACCACCACAGCTTTCATCAATCAACTCTAAGCACTGGAAGGGCCTTTAATCTCTGATTTACTTCTGTTCTTTATACTTTATTAAATATTTCATGGTAGCGCAGGCTTGAAATCTGACCAACACGTTACAACTTTTTGCCTACGGGCAAAACAAATGCTTCATCCAGTAAAAAAAAAAAAGTGACACAGCCTATGACCAGAAAATTAATAGCCTGAGTTGGATCCTCTGGAGATTAAAGATGCACCAAGCCTTCTTTCCTGGAATAGACTGCATGGTTTAATGATGATGTATCTTGTATTGTTTTTTAAGCACCAGAGGATACATCTGAAAAGGACAAAACTGCCTTTTAAAAACCTTTGTTTTTCTTTTTTTTTTTCCTTCATGGTACTGAGGATTGAAACCAGGCTTAGTTAGCACATCCTAGATAAGAATTCTACTACTAAGATGGATCCCCAGTCCGCAAACTTTTTATTAAACCTTACAGAGGCACAAAAATACTCTGAATTTAATTACACTTTGATATTTTTCTAAAGCTCACTCCTTTACATAATATTTTGTTGTTGTTTTTCGAGACAGGGTTTTCCTGTGTAGCTTTGGAGCCTGCCCTGGAACTCGCTCTTGTAGACGAGGCTGGCCTCAAACTCACAGAGATCCACCTTCCTCTGCCTCCCGAGTGCTGGGATTAAAGGCGTGCACCACTACCACCACCACCACCACCACCCAGCTTACATAATACTCTTAGTCTTTGGGAATTGAGTACATGTATGCAATGTATTTTGACCATAACCCCCAGTCTTCCCCATAACTCTCCCAAGTTTAACTCTTCATTCTCACACAATCACAACCAAAAGCTAACTCTTAAATTCATTTATTTACCCACCCATTCAACATATTGTAGTGTAATGTAGTGTAGTGTAGTATTGTATAGTGTGGTGTATAGTATAGTATTGTATAGTATAGTGTAATGTAATGTAGTATAGTGTAGGGTGTATATTGTAACCTAGATAATAAAGAGGATAGTAGTTTATCGTCCTAGGAGAGACTTCTACTTCTAAAAACCATATCGTAATAATAAAAGCTATTTCAAAAATAATTCCACACAGAAGAGTGTGGCTGCTTTTAGATATTTATAAGATAGCATAGACTAACTCTCTAGTATGTTACAATTGCACAGCACTGCTGCAATTAGGGAAGTGTATCAATTTTATATCAGTTTGGAACCTAAGCCATTTTGTAACCGCATCACTAAGAACTCCATAAGTGATTGGTTCCATGCTAAGACACTTGGGCTGAATGTTGGGCTAAATCTGCCAGACATGTACATAATCGAAGTTCAGTTGTCAGATGTGGTAGATTTGGTGTTTTATTTTTTTCTGGTTGTGTTTTTTTGTTGTTTAGTTTTTACAGAGGTCATAATCCCATTAAGACCATTCTGTGAGCTGGGTGTGGTGGCAGGTGACACATGTCTGTAGTCACAGCACTCAGGGAGGCAGGCAGAGGGGCCACGTATTCAGGGCCATGCTGGGCTACACAGAAAGACCCTGTCTCGACACCACACCCAACAGACCAGTTTTTCACAAGCCGCTCATTGTTTCTCTATTACTGATCAGCCCTGATAAGCAATCCAGACGCTGTATAACTGCAGCATCTGGATGGCTTATCAGGGCTGATCAGACCAACATATCAAATGAATGAAAACAAATATCCAAAAGTCTTAATCAGTTCTACGCTTTCCACAAAGGAACTGTCAAGTTACATCACAGACCAGCTCACCTCTCAGCCTTCCCGTATGTGTTGACATGGACCATGGTGCCTGTGTTATCTCCAATTCCCTGTTAGGTGGAAGCCTCCCCACAACCGGGCCGGGGAGCTTCTTGATGTCCTCGTGCAGCAAAGGGATTTAAGGAGCCTGGTATCCGCTGGCAGGGGAGAGCGTCAGTCTGCTCTCACACTGGCCCAGCTTTTCCAGGCCACAGAGACATAGTTCTCTTCACCAAAACCTGCCAAAAGTCAAGGCTCAGTGGGTCTCATGGTCAGAGTGATTTGGAAAGACACTACATAACGCAATCCCTCTGAAGAAAGCCTATCACCTGTGCCAGTGGGCTGAAGGTCGTGCCCGTAAGGAAGGAGATGAATTTCAGTCTCCTTAGCCCCGTATGTCCCGCTTGACCAAGGAGCTATAGAGCCATTCCTTGAACAACACACCTGTGAGTGAGTTATTTGCAGCCCACACAGCAAGTACGGCCCTGAGCCCCAACTGCATCACGTTCTTTGGCCGTGGCCCCTTTGCCCACCCAGACTTTCCAATAAACTGTTCAAATGGAAACCTCTGTTCCGAACATAAGACCCTTCACACGATAATCTACACAGCACTCGCTTTCTTCCTCAGCAGTGGCAGGGACCAAACCTATCATTTGAAGTAATTCTACGCCCCGACACTGATTATTAAGTCTGCAGTACTGACAAAGCCAATTCAGCACCCGCCATCTGGTGCTGTGAGCCCGGCGGAAGAAAACTGTGTTTTTATTAAATGTGTCTGGCGTGAGGTCCCTTTGCCTTATTGTCTAGATGCAGACAACACCGAGTGCCCGCAGCAGGGACGCACACCTACCTATGCAGCAATCCTACGAGTGTGCACCTCCATCTCCTTCACCTCCACAAGAGGAAACCGAGGCACAGGGAGAGATCCAGTCACGTGGCCAAAGTCAATAAACACGAATCCAGAGAGTCAGAACTCAAAACCAAGGCTGTCTTTCACTTCACTGAACTGCCCTTGCAGGATCAGCTCATCGGACTACCAGGGATCAAGGTGTCTACAGAGAACCTTGAAAGACCCTATTCCTGTGAGACAAAAAAAAAAAAAGTCATTTGAATGACTCAGCTTTCAAGGGTGGGGCTGGAAGGATGGCTCAGTGGTTTTGAGCATGTACTGCTCTTGCAAAGGACTGCAGTTCCCAGCACCCTCATCAGCTGATTAAACAACCACCTGTACTTCCAGCTCCTAGAGATCCAGCGCCCTCTTCTGACCTACATGGGCACCTACACCCAAGTGCACATACACAGAGAGAGAGAGAGAGAGAGAGAGAGAGAGAGAGAGAGAGAGAGAGAGAGAGAGAGAGAGAGAGAGAGAGAGAGAAGAAACTCAACTCTTATAAAGGCCTGGCTTACAGTCTCAGAGGTTTAGTCCATTGTTGTCATGGCAAGCAACACGGCAGCATGCAGGCAGACATGGTGCTGGAGAAGGAGCTGAGGGTTCTGCATCTTAACCCACAGACAGCAGGACGAGTGCTGCATGAGGCATAGACCTCAGAGCCGGCCCCCACAGGGACAGGCTTCCTCCAACAAGGCCACGCCTCCTAATGGTGCCACTCCCTCTGGACCAAGAATTCAGACACACCAGTCTATGACAGCCATTCCTCTTCAAACCACCACACCAACTCAGAAAATTTACTTAAGGACAATTCCTTGGGAAAAGACTTCAGGAACGAAAACTTGAATCCATTTTCTATGAATCCAGTAACAAATCCTCACAAACTCAGCAGCTTTAAACAACGGAAATGAATTGCCGGGCAGTGGTGGTGCATGTCTTTAATCCCAGCATTTGGGAGGCAGAGTCAGGCGGATCTCTGTGAGTTCGAAGCCAGCCTGGTCTACAGGAGAGCCTCCAAAGCAACACAAAGAAACCCTGCCTCCAAAAATAAAAAAATAGAAATAAAAAAAAACGGAAATGAATTACCATACTGGACCCTGAACGGGTGGACTGCGTTCTTTTCAGAGCCTCCAGGGATGAATCTGTCACTCGCCAGGTCCTACAGGTTCTCAGCAGTGCTTGGCGTGGTCTCACCTGAATTGCTGGTCCCTCTGACTACGGTGGCTTCTGCTCTCGGCGACTCATATGCCTGAATCGTCCAGGACCATCTCCCATTTCAGGTCCACAACCCTAACCACATCTGCAGAGCCCCAGTACAATGTGTAAACAAATGCATTGGGGACTTAGAACACGGACCTCTTTGGGTGGGGTGGCCGCATTCTGCTTTCTGGGGGCAGTATTCTTTAACATGCCTCACATACTCAACAAGGCTCGGTTTCCTCACTCGTAAAATGAGAGTAATCATAGTAGCTGCCTCCTAAGGTGGTTGGAAGGGTCGGTGCGTTGACATCGGCAGAGCCCTGCCAGCCTGGCTCACGGGGCTCACAGAGGCCAGTCGGCAATGCGGCGTCTCCATGGGGTGCGGGAACACATAAAGCCACAGCTGTTTGAGCATCAGAGAGAAGTGTAGAAAAGACTGGACATTGTTCACACTGCTTGAATATTTTATCCCTGGGAGCTGTGTGACTTCTCGGCACAAGGCGGAACCCAGTGCCACTGGTAGCCATCCTGCAGATAAAGAGAACTCATGTTTTATTTATCTAAAGCCACAGGGATGGAATTTGAGGAGGGGAAAAGAAATCTACATGATTTTTTTTTAGAACTGGCTACAACTATCTATATCCTGCCTCGCCAAAATTCAGTGTGAGCGTGAAGCAGATGTTTCATGCTCTGCTCTGTCAGGGAGGGCCTCTGTCCCCTGGTAATGAATCCAGTGCTACAGGTACATCAGGTGAGGACTGGATGCCTTCACTGAGGGACATTGGGCCAAGAAGGCCTTCCTGATATAGGTAGAAGGAGACTAAAACGCCCAAGGGAGCACTTGGAGGGAAAGCATAGGGAGCACTTGGGGAGAAGGCATAGGGAGCATTTGGGGAGAAGGCATAGGGAGCACTTGGAGAGAAAGCATAGGGAGCACTTGGAGGGAAGGCATAGGGAGCACTTGGAGGGAAGGCATAGGGAGCATTTGGGGAGAAGGCATAGGGAGCAGTTGGGGAGAAGACATAGGGAGCCCTTGGGGAGGAGCCATAGGGAGCACTTGAAGGGAAGGCATAGGAAGCACTTGGGGAGGAGCCATAGGAGTACTTGGAGGGAAGACATGCAATAATACTCAGACAGCTTTTGTAGGGCATAAGCTAAAGGCCTTGCAGAAAAGTGATAATAATTGGCTTCGTTTGCCAGGGAAGAGTTGAAAGGATAATTTAATCTTCCATATTACATGGAAAACGTCCTAACTGAGGGAGATCTAGCCAATGGCAGGATCTAGAGCCCAAACAGAAATTTACATTACTTAGAGAAGGCTCTATAAGTAAAACTCAACCCTGGAAATAATGACGTCCTAAACTCAATGATTGTTAAAAAAAAAAAAAAGCAAGCGAACAAAAACAATTATTTGTCTTCTGTTGAGAAAGCAAATCTGCATATTTACGGTCTCACCGCAGGGGTTACCACCTCTGTACCAAAAATAACCACAGCTGGGTTTCGGATTTCTTAAGGGTGGCAGATTTTTAAGTGTAAAAACCCCTAAACACTGAGAGTTCAAGATGGTACTAGGCGTTTCTCAAACCCAGAAAAATTTTAGGTTTTCAGTTTATTGGATATTAGGTCTGCTTGGCAGGCCCAGCTGTTTGAAATAGACTCGTGAATTCCATGAATGCTCACACTCAGTGACCAACTGTACGCTGGACACAGGGAGAGTGACAAAGAGAACAGATCAGGTTCCTGTTTTCACGGAGCTGGCTCGGTCTGTCTCTAGTTGAGAACACGGAGAAGAAACAGAGAGAGAAATGCGCCGGATGATGATATGCAGGCCGGGGAGACCCAGAGCCCGGGTGCGGAGGGATGACAGGGTAGTCGTTGGGGAAACCTCAGAGGAGGTGACCTTTCGGGCCGGGAGCTGAGTAACTAGGAAGAGCCATTGTGTGAAGATTGGCGAAGGGACTTCTGAAAAAAAAATCACCAAGAACCAGAGCAGTGGCTCACAGCCTTCCCGGTGCAGTGACCCCAGCCCTCCCCCTAGGAGAGCGTGGTTCAACCCCCAAGGGCTTGAGAACCACTGCAGCAGAGTGAGTGGAGGGGGCAGGGGAGGACGAGGAAGGATAAGAGAACAAAGGCCATTCATGGCTGGCACAGGCTGGATCCTCTATGAGGTCTGTGGCAGAGGCTAAACACTGTTACCCAGGGGGACATTTGGTTTTTAACATTCCAGGGATGGAAAGCCCAATTTAACACAGCATGTCTGCCCAGAGCACGCAGGGACGACAAACAGTCGGGTAAATGAGACTAGAAAGGCTGGGGACCTGAGGCTGGAGAGCTGGGCTTGGTGTCTCTGGTAGGTAGGTGGCTTTCAGGCTCTTTTGGGCGACCGAGGGCCTTGGCACTGCCCGGCAGTCAGCCAGCCCTGGGAGCCTCAGTCACCGCAGCCCTCGTGAGAAGCGTGGTAAATCCAAGCAGATGTTTGGGGCATCTTGTGGGCTATATAGAGTAACTTCTTATTTTTCTCTTTTTTTTCAATCTGTTTCATTTTTAGATCTTAGAAATCCTGGTTTTCTGCATCCTTCTGTATTTCCATAAAAGAAAAGGAATGAAGAACATTGTGATCCTGCTCGCCCTGGTGGCACTCCTTGGTAAGGGCCGGTCTCCCCCCTGTGCTAAGTCAGGAAACTGAAGGGAAGTACCCAGCCAGATACGCTATCCCTGTTTCACTGTTTATGTTTTCTTTCTTTCTTTTCAAATGTATTAAATGTTTTAAGTAAAAGGCAAGAAAACATTCAAAAATCTAATTGTTTGTAAGCAACATACTTAATATAAGAATTTGGAAGGGCAAAAAAAAAAGTATAAATCCCCTACTAGCATGGCTTCAAATATATAAAGAAAAACTTGGGGGAAAAATGAGAAAAAAATATATAACTTCTAATTGAAATGAGAAATTTTACCAAACTGAAAAAATATAGATCTAGTAGAAATAAAATCTGTATGAAAGAATTTGATCTCTTAATTGATAAACATGTAAGGAACATCATACCAACAGCAGCAGAATGCATATACTAGGATATTTTACAAAATTGAATATCTGTGGGGGAGCTTCAACATGTTTTAGAGTATCAAAATGATAGCCTGTTTCTGTTTTTGACCTCCGACCCTCAAAACCAAAGTCCCAACTGTACAAATTACACTTTGCATATCATTTCTCAGTTTACACATATTTAATCCTCTTAAAATATACTCAATTTTTTCACCTGTTGGTAATTTTTTCTCTCCCTGAGAATACGAGGGTTGTTTAAGAGAATGATTGAAAATATTCAAAGGAAGAAGGAACCGAACTCCGTTTATGTCAGAACCTGCTTAACAAGATCTCGCCTGTTTATTTATTTTACTTAAATATGGTTAACGTAAGCATGAACATCATGATTTTCTTAAATACTATATTTATTTCGTTCTGTGTTTACTTTGCGTCCCATTGGCTCCTGGGAAAGTTTGCAACCTAATACCTAGATACCCAACTGTATTTTGTGTGCTTTTTTCTCAGAGACTTGTATGCCAACACTAAGATAGCTCACGGCCCGCTTTGGGTAATTTTCTCTAAATACTTTATTTAGAAGTCTTCCTTTAACCTTTCTTTGCCATAAGATGGACCGAAGGCTGTCCTGACGTCACTGGGGTAGGTGCAGCTCACCCATTAATGAGGTGCTGGGCTTTAGTCAGTTAGTCCCCTCCTCTGCGTCGGAGGATTTGTGTTTATGACACTTACCTTCAGAAACAAACACACCCCACACAAACACCACAGCAGGTGTTTTGGCGATCAAGAAAACGGAGGGGGGATCCTTGTATTTGTCTCAAAAGCAAACAAGAAAAAGAGAAAAACATGCAATATAGAAAAAATATTTGAAATAAAAGAAAAGTCAAAATAACAGGATTAAGATCAAGTTATGAGCATGAATGTAATTGAAACCAGTTTTCTTTTTTGTAAAAAAGGGAAAAGGAGAGATTTTTCAAATTGCACTTCAGAGTAACTCTCAGATTCATTTTCAAAATGGTTCTGAACTGGATTCAGTCCGTGTGCATGGGCACAGCTCTGTGCAGGTCACTGAAATAGCCACATACATGCCTGCTATCTTCTAGAAAGAGTCCTTCCAAAGCCTCCTCCTTCTCGGTCTCTACACCTGCCGTGGTTAGCACTAGGGCAAGGGCCTCTCCGTCAGGACCAGCTCCCTCCCTGGTCAGCCTCCCTAGATGTGAGAGGGAGAGGAACCTCGTGGGTAGTTTCCGTCTTCATGACTGATCTAGTATTGGTTGGGTGACAGATGAAGATGTCTCTAGCCCTGCCGCTTCGGATATGCAAGCAGAACAGGAGCTCAAGGTCAGACTCAGCTGCGTTCTTGAGCTTGAGGTCAGGCGTGGGCTACGTGAGACATGTCTCAAAAAAAAAGAAAACAGGGAGGAAAGAAGAGGAGAGAGGGGGGGAGGAGAGAAGGGGGGAAGGGGAACAAAGGGGGCTTCCATTGAGTAGCTGTCTTATCTGTATCTGGTGATATCATTTTTTGAATTTTTTCCTTTTATTGAAAATAGGTGTTTACCCCCCCCCTCACACGACACATCCTGATTACAGTTTCCCCTCCCTCCACTCCTCCTAGTTCCTCCCTACCTCCCTTCCCATCTGGATCCCCTCCCTCTCTGTCTCTCATTAGAAAATAAACAGGCTTCTAAGAGATAATAATAAAATAAGATGTAATAAAGTAAAACATAGTAAGAAAATAGAAAAACTAACATGTCAGAATTGTGCAAAACAAACAGAAGGAAAAGGATCCAAGGGGTGGGGGGATTCGCTCACTCAGGAATCCCATAGAAACACTAAACTGGAAGGCTTGTATGCAGAGGGCCTGATACAGACCCTGCGAGCTCAAATGTGTTCTGATCGTGTTGATTCAGAGCGTCTTGTTTTCTTGGTGCCCTCATCCTCTCTGACTCTCAGACTCTTTCTGGCTCCTCTTATTCAGGGTTCTCTGAGACCCAAGGGGAGGGATTTGATGGAGACATCCATTTAGGGCTGAGTGTTCCATGGAGTCTCTCTCATTCTCTGCAGATGTCTGGCTGTGAGTCTCTGTATTTGACCCAACTGTTGCTGGAGGAAGCTTCTCTGGGGATGGTCTGAGCAAGGCACCAATTTACGAGCAGAACAGGATGCCATTAGGCACCATTTTTATTGTTACTCTTATTTTAGACCAGTAGCATTTGGTTTTACCCTGTGTCCCTAGGTTATCTATTCTCAGTTTCTCAGTCGCCCAAGCAGTGTTGGGTATAGATTCCATCTCGTGGAGTAGGCCTTAAGTCAAATCAAATTTTGGTGTGTCACCGTCACCATAGCATATCTTGCCGGCAGGACACTATGGTAGATCAGAGCGCTTGTGGCTGGCTTGGTGTTTGCATTTCTTTTGGTCACATGCTGAGTTCCTTCCTGTGCCAAAGATGCTAGAACATAGGGGTGAAGGCTCTAAGGCAGGTGCCAGCCAGTTTCTCCATGTTCAATGAGCTGTGTAGGTGTTGTCTTCAGCAATGAGGAGCTGTCACTTGTTGACAGCAACCTAAAGTCTTGGTAACAACCGGGATTGTTTGAGGAGTCCTACTGGACCCCTCTGGCCAACGACTCAATTAGGCGTAACCCAATCTCAAGACAGGAAGCTTCATTTGATGACAAGAAATGAACAATTGGGGTTCTGTTGCCCCCATTATTTAGTGATTTCATTTAGATGATCATCATATATATATATATATATATATATATATATATATATATATGGAAGCTTTATGGGGTAAAGAGGTATTATGAGTTATGAACAACGTTGTTACAAATCACACCAATAGTTAACATATCCATCACCTCAAACATTGACCATTTGTGTGTGTGTGTGTGTGTGTGTGTGTGTGTGCTGAGATTATTTAAATTGTATTTTCTTAGCAATTTTTGAATGTCAGTGAAATCTCAGGATGCGTCTAGTGAGTTTTTTGTTATTTGGGCATGGTTTAGGTTTTGAGTTCTGTTGCACAGTGTGGTGAGTATTGCGAATGACTATCTGTGACCTTTCTTTAAAAAAAAAATCTTAGGCCTTGATGCACAGTCCTCCCAAGGCTCAGAACCCTGGGGATCCAGAAACCTCACCCTATTTCTAGCACACTCCGGTTGTCAAAGCAAAATTAACAACTGAAAATATCGATGGCTTTGATCAGGAGATGTTAATCTCCTATCTTGTCACCCAGGAATCCCTGGAATGGGAGAAAGAACTAAGTGCTAAAGAAAGCCAGAAATCAAATCAGGAAGGGGCGGGATGCCAGGAGAATGTGCCTTAGCGATGAAAGGAATTTGTGTTTATGGTTGGTGATTAAGAAGATAGAGCAAGATAGAAAGAAAACAATAAAAAAAAAGTGTGTCGTGAAGACTGACACTATGACAGCATGACTCCCTTCTCCAGAAGGCTGTCTGTGAGGCCGTCTCAAAGCCTTCACACACGACTGTCAACACACTGATTCCCCTTCAGGTGATTTTCCACGGAAATAGGCAGAATGATGGACAGGTTTATGTTCAGGGAAATTCACCGCAGCCTCATTTTAATGTAAGAAAGGGGGGAAAAAAGAATTCAATCTAAATATCCAAAAATAGGAAATTGTCAAAATAAATTATACACCTCATACAAAGGCATTCTTGACAGCCAATAAAAGCCTTTAGAATACTTCATGGCATAGAAAATGCTTAGTGGTGGTGGAAAATAAGTTCCTAAGTGGTATCAACTGTGTGAGTCGCACATTGTGATACATTCTTCCTTGGAAAAGGTAAAATAACGCTGTGCCCAAATGTTAAGAAATGACTTGAGGGCTGGAGAGAGAGGACCCACGTTCGATTCCCAGCACCCACACGACAGCTCACAACTCTCTGTAACTCCAGTTCCAGTGACCCCCCTGACACCCGTGGCGACACACCAATGCACGTAAAATAAAAGTAAATTATGAAAAAGATGACAGTTGATTGGGGGGTGGAGTTCAAGACAGGGTTTCTCTTTGTAGCCTTGGCTGTCCTGGAACTCACTCTGTAGACCAGGCTGGCCTCGAACTCATAGAGATCCGCCAGCCTCTTCCCACACGGGAGGCCCTCCTCAGCACAGAGAATCAGCTGCTGCTGCTTATACATAAATGTCATATTTACAGTTCTCTCTGAGAAATGAATACTCGGTTCTAGTTCTGGTCCTCTTCATTGTCAGAAAGTACAGAGCATCCACTAACACAATCTCAGCAGGACCCTCAGTAAGCGCAGGTTGACTCAGTGAGCAGCTTTTCGCCGTAGTTTGACATTTATCCCTTGAAGGCTGAATGGGCACTCTGACCCGCTGCTTCCCTTCACTGCGTTCGCCTGTCCCATCCGCTAGTGCTTCCTGTCAGCTCCGTGGCATTCTTCCAACAGTCCCGGCTGGAAAGTGAGCACCTGGACACGGAAGCAGCAGACCCCCATCCCACGGCAGACCCAGCGCAGCAGTGTGAGCCGCAGGGTCCTGCGCGCGTGCGCCCACCTCCGCCACACGCCCTCCCAAACGTCATCCTAAGAGCAAAATCGGCACGCTCGCCTCTCCAGCAAGCAAACCTAGTTTAGCAAGCAAACCTAGTTTACGTGTCTGTCTGAAATACGTGTTTTTTAATCTGTGTTTTCTTTTTTTTTTTTTTTCTTCCAGCCTCATTGACTGTGATTTCAGTGAAAGCCGTCTCAGGCATGATCACTCTTTCTGTGACGGGTAAAATGCAGCTAACTTACGCCATCTTCTATGTCATGCTTGTTATCATGATAGCCTCTTGTGTTTTCCAAGTCAAGTAAGTCAGCGTCTGCAAACTCAGTAACTAACTTCTCAGGGCTCCCGTGCTTCTCTTTGCCTTGGCTTAGCTGATAATCGAAATGAAATGCAATGGCCTCTCAAAGGTATAAGACCTCCAGCTTCTCCATAGCCAGCGTGCCTGGCTTTCTTCTCCCATCCGCTGATTGGCTTGCACTGAGGGCTGCCTTCGCTTGCACCCGGTGCACTCTAAAAGCGAGGCGCCATCCGACGGCTGAGTGTGCTTTGATGCTTCCCCGATGCTCTTCTGCATGTAATTAATACATATCGTACACAGGTTGTCGTTAGCAATAAATCAAAAGGGCAGGTCCACATCCAGGGTTGCATTCTAAATATAGGGAACGTGTGAACCCTTCACCTCCATCTCTTAGCTCCCGCTCATTAATTTGCCCAGAGATGGACAAAACCAGACGTTTTGGCCCGGAGGAAAACCCTCCTCCCCCAGAACTTTGCATCTTTGGCCAGAATTTCCCTCATACCCATGGGGATTTAGGAATGATTGTTTCATGTTTCTCTTGGGTCCTAATACTGGTGACATGGAACATTTTTTAATTCCTGCTCCCCCACACACACACCTCCATCTGCTTTAATCACTGTCCCCGCTTTTCACTCTCTTGAGTTAGCCAGAGAGTTCACCCCAAAACACTATGCAGAAGTGTCTTCCCCAATGCCCAGAAGGAAACCAGATCTCAAAGTGCTGAGGAGGGGCAGGACTTGCTCTACAGGTGGCAGCAGTCTGTCCCGTGGGTCCTAAGTAGGTCCTGGGCCCGTGTCAGGAGAGTGACAGGAGAAACCGACTTCCTGAGGCTGGGTGTGTGTGTATCAATGCTTGAATATTGCTATTTTGACCACTTCTGTCTTCTGAATCAATTGTTGCTGCTACAGCGCCTTTGGGGATTTAACGATTAGTGTCATTGCTTTATACCACGCTTCAGGAATTTAAAGGCAGACACAGATGAAGGAAGACCACATCCTGTCAACCTTATTTAGCTCTCACCAAGTAAAACTGCCATCCTCCGCCTCGATTCCTATTAAAATTATCCAAGGAGGTTTGCTTGTACAAGTGTATTCAGTGTCTGTATGTATACAGACACACATTCACGTGTGCACAGGCGCATGTGCATGTACACACACAGACACACACACACACACACACACACACACACACACACACACACTAGCTTTATCCACAAGCCTCTTCTTTTTCTTTTTCAGTTATTCTTGACATCTGCTGTCCCTTGCTGGAGATCAAGCAAATCACTTGTCCTACCTGCCATCAGTGCTTTTGTTTTTTTGACACCTCCCAGGTGATTCCACGGGAGGCACTGCTTTGTCCCTGCCAGAGAAGCACAGCCTGCGTGGGAACTCGAGTTCCCGGTGGCGGCCGGAGCAGAAGAAGCTCGGCTCCCCACATGTGCGCTGCAGCTGGAGTACCAAGCATCCATCGCCTTTGAAACATTAAACATTCCTCTGCTTCTCTGTCTGCTTTCTTGGCACGTGGCACGTCAGTGGATAGCTATATGCTCGACCCCCCCTCAGATATGATACTTAACAGATTCTAAAGGCCCTACCCTTAATGAGTCAACCCCGGCGTGATACCGGTCCAGCAGTTTGAATCGATTCCAAGTCAAACTCCTGTGGCCTCAGAATATGATTAATTGCTTTTCATTGTTACTGTTGTTGGTTTAAACAGACCATAAAACCTGACATCTGATCTCAGACATCAGATGCATCTAAGCTATGGCCGCTGATTGGAAGTGCCTTTTCCCTGCTCTCCTTTCCCTTTGTAGTTGTGGCTGCAGAGCATGCATTTCTGAGGTTATTGCTAGCGCCCTCCCCAGCGCAGCTAAGCTGAAACTTCAGTGATCGCTGTCTCCCCGTAGGTTCCTGAACCAAGCCACAAAGCTCTACACGATGACCGCAGTGGTCCCAGTCAACCATGTTTTCTTTACAACCAGCGCCATCATCGCAGGTGAGTCCCGGCTTTCCACGGGTAGGTGGAGCCGCCCCACCACGGGTTCGAGGCTCTCTCAGAGGCAGAACACGGAAGCTTTGGGAGTCCGGGTCCCCCAGCCTCCAACCGGTATCTAATTTCCTCCACAGTCCTCCCCTTTGTGTGACTTATGCCCCGATGCCCTCTGCTTCCTGAGGCAGCTCAAGCCCCGTCTTGATGACTCTCATTAACTCGGAGAATGGCTAGAAAGTGTCTCCTTCCACTAGAGCCCAAGTGAGCTTCCTTATGAATTCAAGACACTTTCACCTTTGCTGAGCCTTCTCAGGGTTCTGCTTGCAGCTCCTGCTAATCACAGGGAGGGGGGAAAACCCTCTCGATTCTTCCCTGCAGGCCAAACACCCCCCAGTTCCTTGAACACCTCCCTCCTGGCCCACATCACCTTAATGAGAGAATGGAGCCCCTGACCTAGTTTATCGTTGCACGGAAACTTACCTGACTTGCACGGAAGGCCTGACAGACATCCACATTTGAGATTTCCTCTCCTACAGCTCTCGTATTTTAATGAATACTTTTCCATGTTGCAGAGATGATAACGTCAAAAAACAGTACAAATGTAAAAACCTGATCCAAGCCAAAAGACAACGGATTCAAGTAAACCATTTATAAATCTGTTAGTGGCAGGCTCCGATCTCAATGTTTTCAGTAAGCTCAAAGCTGATTGCTGCATCTGCCCTCTCTCATCAGGCTACTGCTGTGTAGCCCACACGGGCCTGGGACTCGCTCTGTAGCCCAGGCTGGCCTCTAACTCACGATCTTCCTGCCTCTGTCTCCCAAGTGCTGGGATTACACCTCCATGCCCAGCCAAAGATTTGCTTGTGTATGTATTTTATGTATGTGGGCATTTTGTCTACATGTACATCTGCATACCAGAAGAAGGCACTGGATCCCATGGAGACTGTGGTTATCGATGGTTGTGAGCCGCCATGTGGGTGCTGGGCATTGAACACAGGACCTGTAGAAGAGTAGCTAGTGTTCTTAACAGCTGAGTAATCTCTCCAACCCTAGGGTGGCCACTACTGAAAGAAAAAAAAGGTAGCAGCAAGGATGTGAGAGAGATTAGGATGTTAAACTCCTGTACCATTGGTAAATGGAAATATAAAATTATATAGCCATTATGGAAAACAGTATGCGGTTATTCAGGTTGTTTTTAGTTATTCTACAATCCAGCAATCATGTTCCCCAAACATGAACAAAATTTGTAGCATTAGCCATAATATCCAGAAGATGAGAGCAGTCCCAGTACCCACTGACAGATGAGTGGACAGGAAAAAAAAAGTGGCAATTGCACACAAAAAGAGTACTATTCACCCTTTAAAAGGACACTTGCTCCAAGGCTGGTGAAACACGGGGACATTGTTAAGAGAATCAAGTCAATCACAGAAAGAAAAGGAACATACTGAGCCCATGCACTTGATTCAAACTCACAGAAACACGAAGAAACGTAAGACACCACCTGCTCACCATGGTGTCTCTGGCACCCTACGGTACTACCTTCCAAAAGACAGCAAATGTTCTCTGCCCAGCCAACAAAACCCACCTGCCACGCACAGGGCTAGTTTCAGATGGTCTGTGAGTTAAAGATTTCCTACTTAATAAAAGCTCTATGAAGTCCTTTGGGACCTCAAATGAAGAAGTCGCTGAGACTAACTGGGAGAGGGGAGAAGTTCACTAAAGCAGATGATACACGCTCCCACCGCCCCACCCCTCCCCCATGACCTACAGGGGGATACCAGAGAGAGGACACCACCCCCACCCAACCCCTGCTCCCCCCCATGACCTACAGGGGGAAACCAGAGGAAGGAAATAGGAGGAAGTTCCTGGGGAAAAATGGAACTAGAGCAACACCCAATTGCCAGAGATTCCTCCAGAGCCCATGAGGGCACCTGACCAGACTTACAGAACATAGGACACAGTCGAAGGGATAGCATGGCCGCAGCAGGTAGCCTGGGGGAGACCTGCCATGCCAGTGGCCTCCGGAGTCACCTGGATTCTCGTGGTAGGCTCCCTCAGTCCTGATGAAAACCATAGGTGGAGAATGGTGGCTGTAGTTTTGTTCCCTTGCATGTTCAAGGGGGGGGGGGGTGGAAACCTGGACATTGCTGCTTACAGTGCTGGGAAAACATCTCAGTTAAAGGGCTTTCCACACAAGCACGAGGACCTGAGTTCAATCCCCAAATCAAACCCACATTAAAAATAATAATAATAAAAATACTGTGTCTGTGATTCCAGAGGCTAACTACAGACAGCCGAGCCACATTAATAAGCCCAGGGTCAGTGAGAGACCCTGCCTCTAAAAACAAGGCAATGTGAGACCCATGAGAAAAGACACGTGTGGTGCTCTGGCCTCTGGCATGTGTGCACACATAGGACCATGCGTGTGTGCGCACATACATGCATGTATATAGACAAAAATGAGATTTCTGCCCACAGAACATGTTGGTTTTTATAACATTGATAATTATACTAAGCCTACACGTCCATGTGAATCTTTTGAGTAGCTTCAAGTATAAGAATAGCACACAGACTCTTTTAAATCAAAATACTGAATGCACATTTCAAGGGAAACCACACACAGAAAAATGTATTTACACAACTTAAAAAAAATAACGTGCTGCTGTTATAAATGTCGCTACCCTAAAATTAACTCTGTCCTCTTCTTATACAGGCATCATATTCTACCAGGAATTCCTTGGTGCTGCCTCTCTCACTGTGTTTATATACCTTTTTGGGTGAGTTAAAGTTTCAGAGGCAGCCAGGGGGTGGTGGCTGCGCTCGCCTTTAATCCCAGCACTCAAGAGGCAGAGGCAGGTGGATCTCTGTGAGTTCAAGGCCAGCCTGGTCTACAGAGCTAGTTCTAGGGCAGCTAGGGGCTCTTACACAGAGAAACCATGTCTTGAAAAAAATTTTTTAAGTCTCAGAGGTAAGGTATATGAAGTTCTATTAATCTTATATAGGATTTTTGGCATCCTACCTGAAGTACAGAACATTGAAACATACTATAAGAAACATTTTTCAACTTAACATTCTACACAGGGCTCTGTGGCCTTGGCTTTGTGACTTATGTATCCCTTTGAGGGCTCTGAAACATTGGGGATTTGCAGTTCCAGCCAAAATCACGATAAATCCACTGGGGTCTATGGTTAGTCTATCATCTTTTAGTTCTCTCTCAGGTCCACCTGTCCCCAAGCAAAAGGCCAAGGCTTGTAGATCCTTCTCTTAGGTTCAAGTAGCTTCAGGTTGGTAGCTGCCCTTCCTATCATAAAGCACCCAGTTTGGCCCCTTCTAGAGATTCGGTGGATATCACTGCCAACATTGCTGGCAAGCAGAGAACCAAACCCCGGTGATGTGTTGCCAATGAATAGCTGCTTCCATTGGCTCCAAGCACAACCTTATTAATGCTTAGCTGCCTCTTGATCTGCTATTCAGCATGACCATTGTTATGCAAACTTGAGCCTAGTGTATTTTCAACATAGGAAGCCATCTATCTTGAAAATTCAATTTCATAAGACATTTGGGCGCGGCCAAACTTCTGGGGTCTGGAAACTATGACTACTCTTATGGCCAAGGACAATGAGATTTCTTAGAAAATTAAAGAATAACTTGTTTTTCACTCATGTTGCATGCCAGTAATGGGTCTGGGCATGCATGAATAGAAAAAACGAGACCTAGTGTCTACCCAAAGGGTTTAGAGCCTGAATTAGCCTCCAGATGGTGAAAACCTGGGGCAGAGATTTATTGGAAACTGCCCAAGTCTTGGTTCTGGGTATAACTTTTACTGGCTGTAAAAATTAAGACAAGTTTGAGGCAGTTTACCATAAGAAATGGGATATACAAAACTGATGGAATTTATGTCATCATGTACAAGTTAGAGCACAGTTATGTAATACTACGACCTGTTTCAGTATTCCTGTGTTCTTTATAAACATGTTCCTTACAGGTGCTTTTTGTCATTCCTTGGAGTATTCTTGGTGACAAGAAATAGAGAAAATGAACATCTACAACAGTCTTTTATTGATTTTGGGAATATTCCTGGTAAGAAAAAAATGTATATTTTTCTCTAATTTATAAGAGATTATCCTTGGGCCTGGTTCAGTGGATAAAAGGACTTGCCACCAAGCCTGAGGACACCAGTCCACTCCCTGGGACTCACATGGTTGAAGGAGATAACCAACTCTTACAAGTGTTCTAACCTCCATGCATGCATGCATACACACAAACGAATAAATGCCATCTTTTCACATTACAAAAAAAGAAAATTTATCCTCATAAATTAATCATTGTTGGCACTATTTTGGATGTTAACATAAAAGCATAATTTTCCCCTCAAGAAGTTCATTTAGTGATGAAGCCCGGGGAGGTATAAATGTTGATAATTTATAGATGTCAGCTCTGCACAAAACAGTGAGATTGTTGGAAAACTGACAAGGCTTCCTCGATGCGGGTCACTTGGGAGATCTCACTGGGGTTTCCTTAAAGACCTGGATGAATGGGGAGTGGTAGGTCCCTGACACCTACAGACCCTTTGATGGGACATCCGAGGCAGGATTGACAGTCTGGATGCTGAAGAGCATCACTCCTGAGGAAGACTGAGGCAGCTCATTTGCCGTGGTGCTAAGAGCGGACCGCCACAGTCACCAGGACGTGAACACTCTCCTTCCTCACCTCATTCATGCAGACCGGGCCAGTGGGTACTTTCCAATACTCGTTTGTTTCCCCTGAGAAACAACACACCTTGTGCCCATTTGGTACACGACAGAAGCAAACCCCAGAGCGAAGTCAGCCATCCTTACCACTCTCACACCCTAACCCATCCACCCGCTCACTCCCTCAGCTTTGCGAGGGGCCTGGGGTGAACTACAGATTTCCATGCAACAGTAGAGGTTGATTGTCCGCCATTCTGTCCATCGTGCCTTTAAAGCAAAAGTGACTAAAGTTTCTAGTAAGATCAAAAGATGGAAGAGCAAGGAAGTGGGTTTTGTGTTCTCTTTGGCTTGTGAGCTACCTAATCAAGAGTAGTCAGTGATAGAATTGACATTTGTAGCAACAATGCTCACTGGGGCTTGTTAAAGACTGGTTGTTTTTTGTAAGAAGTAAAAATGCTGGAAACTAAAAGGGTTCTGTTTTGGGGAGGTTGTGTGTTTTGGGGGTTTTTTGCTCATTAACTATTTTCCACTTCTCGAAGCTTCAGGTATAGGATCGGCAATGCTCTCAAAGCCTCTGGCTCATGAAGTTTTCCTGTGTTGTTGTATGGACAAAGGGGGAAGACAAAACCCTTCAGAGAGAGGGTTTGGAGACGAGTGACTAATGTGACTTATGTGACTCCCCTGATTGATTGTCCCAGCCTGTTTCTGTGCCCAGCACAGAGTGGGCAGATGTCACATGTGGGCAAGCGTGTGACCACATGACAAGTGCTATGAGATTTTTTGTGTGTGTGAGCCTCTCCTTGACGTTTTATCTTTTTCATTGAGACGGTAACCACATAGTGTATTTTTTTAAGGCATAAAATGTGGCCAGAACTGGAGAGAAATTATTAGGACATTTTTTTATCTCTTAAGAGCTCAAAAGGTCTTTTATGATTATTATCTCCACAGGGAAACAAATGTTGGACAAAATACAACCAGACTCAAATGGCTTATCCTATGGGACCTTGCCTGATGGGAGCGACTCAACACAGAGCCAAAGTGGAGAGAAGAAAGAAGCCTAAAATGCCGAGAGGGATGGCTGTTGGCCTGTTATTCAATACCACCTTTTTAAAAAATTGCACATGTTCAATTTGTGTCAGCAGCTATTTCACGCTGACATGTGCGCACATTCGATTCAGTCCTCCCCCCCCCCCACTGCGGACAATCAGGGCCCTCCTAATCTCTAACAGTCTAATGCTTTCATGGAATGTTACTCAAAGTGCTTCTCACACCCTAGCAAGCTCTCCCTAGTGATCGTCTAACGGGCTGCATCTTAATGAGAGCCCGGCCGCTTGTGCAGGGTGTCCCACAAAAAAAAAAAAATGTGCGCCCGAGATTTGGCCATAGAAGGCATAGGCTGCTCCTCCACGCGGCTTTGCAGAATCAGCCCCGTGGCTTCAACAAAAAACGCCCGCTGCTGCCACAACCTGTCTCGGGCGTCTTCTACAAGCCTTTCGTGAGGACTCCTTTCTGCCTGTCAAGATGGAGAGTCGTCTTTTCAGAAAACCAACTCTGTTAAGGTCCTCCTTTGGAAATAAAGGGCCTCATTTAAAAAAGGAAGGAAAAAAACAGAATTTACAAGTGGTGTTCTGTGATTGCATATACTAAAAACTCAAAACCTGGCTGCTGGTTTTTGTTCTTTGTTTTCGATAAAAAGAAAAAAAAGAGCATATGCTGGGCAGTGGTGGTGCACGCCTTTAATCCCAGCACTTGGGAGGCAGAGGCAGGCGGATCACTGTGAGTTCGAGGCCAGCCTGGTCTACAGAGTGAGTTCCAGGACAGCCAGGGCTACACAGAGAAACCCTGTGTAGAAGGATAGATAGATGGATGGATGGATGGATGGATGGATGGATGGATGGATGGATCGATCGATCGATAGATAGATAGATAGATAGATAGATAGATAGATAGATAGATAGATAGATAGATAGGGGGAAGAGCATTTAAGACATAAAACTGCTCACTTTTGTGACATTTGTACTAAAATTCAAACCACATACTTTACCGTGGCCTTTGTGTTAAGTATGACACACAAATTTATAAAGAGTTAACAATTTTGCAGCAATGTTTATTTTTTTTAAACAAAAACGCTAGAATGGTAGCATTTTCTCCAGCCTTATGATCCTATTATATTTACGTTGAAACCGAAAGAAAAACTTTATGTCATATGCCTTAAGTTGTTAGAGATGCTATACTTTATCAAGTGGGTTTCTGTGTCTTAACTTCCAATACAAGTCTTGACATGCATTTAGATTCTTAGGGTATCTGTACAACACACTGTTTCTTCCCCCCAAGTCCTCCGAAGCTTTGGCAGGTTTTTCTAGAAAAGGAAAAGCAGGGTCGGAGAACTGGGTTTCAGCTCCTTGAATCTGGCTGTGGAATAATAGCCAATAAGAGGACCTATGCCGCCGGGCGGTGGTGGCGCACGCCTTTAATCCCAGCACTCGGGAGGCAGAGGCAGGCGGATCTCTGTGAGTTTGAGGCCGGGCTGGACCGACAGCCTCCAAAACAATACAGAGAAACTCTGTCTTGTAAAACCAAAAAAAAAAAAAAAAAGAGGACCTATACCAGGTATGACTTCTCTGCTATCATTTAACGTACTCTGCTAACATACATTTGCAGGCAGAATCTGTAGTGTAGCTTTTACTGTTCATGCTATACCTAATATTTAAACAGTCAGAAAGGGGACACATTTATTTTATAGCCAGGCCCATCCTTAATGACACTTTAATCACACCACCCAGTGTCGCCGAAGACTTGCGTTTGTGCATGGTGATAAACTCGGAGCTAGGGAAATACCAATCTGAACTGTTTCTAGTCTTTTAATGGTCTTTATTATAACCTGACCCAGCTGGAATAACCCAAAGTCCATCCCTGGCTTTCCAATTATTATTTTTCAGTTCCCATTAATCTGGGTGTGACGGTCATATGCTCAACGACATGTCTCACTGGATGTGTGCAGCATGTTGGTTCTGGGAGGCCCAGCTCCATTGTATGTCTGGTGCCCTAAATTATGGGTTTCTCATAATTCTTGACATTGGTTTCAAAGATTGGGAAGCGATGAGACTGAGTTTTCCTTGAACCTGGAATCTTGATCACTGTAGGATTTTGCACAGACACAACCTCAATGACAGTGTGTTGGTATCCTCCAGCATTTGCACTAAAGGTTTGGAGAAATTCATTCATTCATGCAATACAGGAATGCTTTTTGAAGTCAAGGTCACATGCATTATATTCAGACCTAATGTTACTAATTGTGGTGCACCAACCAAGGGGGATAGAAATTTCAATTGGCTGGCTCACCATAGGGTGTTTCTCTCTCTCTCTTTTCATACTCGGGGCCTGATGACAACCAAAGCTAACCCACCCCTTCTGGAATTGTAAGCTGGGAACCCTTGGCCAACATTTGGCTCATCTGACTATTTGTCTAGACAAAGGACTGGCTTTTACAGTAAAGACTTTAAAAGTAAATATTTGGGATTTTGTGTTGTCCATATGGTATCTGTCCCTCACTACTCAACTATTCCATCATAGCACAAATGTAGCTATGGACAATATGTAAACAAATGAGAATGGATGTACATCAGTGGTTAATAAAAAAAAAGAAGAAGAAAGGTTAGTAGCCAATCCATGTCTGTAGTTTGCCAAGCCCTGGTCCAGACTCTTTTGCCCTTATTTTCCTTGTTTCTTTAGTACTGGAGAGTTAAAAAGAAAAAACAAAACCAAAAAAAAAAAGACACTTCGTGGTTTGTGACAAATCAGATGCTTAGTATTTACATTAGGATCATTTGGCTTATATAAGAAATAAATGGATTTGTAATGAGTTTATTCTCAGAATCCAACTTTGTCTCTTTTGAAAGCAGTGGTTCTTTTATAGACACCACTAAACATGTTGGAAGAATTTCTCCAGTCCCACATACCACTCTGGTAATAGCTTTGGGAATTATCTCTCATGCAGTTGGTGAGTACAGAGATCTCTACCATCTGACTACTTAGTTTAAATGCTTGCTTACCCTACGCTATAACACTCTCATTTCCAAAATCCCTCTAAATCTAACACAACAAAACACACAATTGTAACAAACATTCTTCCCACCAGCCTGGTTCCAGAGCTGTGTCAGTCCCAAATGAACACACTATATTAATTATGAAGCTGTTGGCTGTTTGCTATGGTCTCTTAATGGCCAGCTCTGACTTAATTATTAACCCATAATTACTAATATAAATTTTTATAAGGTCTTACCTTACTGAGAACGCCAAACTTACACCCTCTCCTCCCAGGATCACTCTCCACTCTTGACTATATTTCCCAGAATCCTCCTCGATTCCTATTCCCACCTATCTTGCTTCCCTATTGGTCAACAGTGTGTTATTTATCAACCAATAAGACAACATATACACAGAAGGACTTCCCCCATCACACAATGTCTTATATTAATTATAAACTGTTTGGCCAATGGCTCAGGCTTCTTACTGGCTATCTCTCTCTTACTTATTAACCCATTAACTATTAAATCTATGTGTTTCCACATGGCCTTACTGGAGAATGCCGGGGCGTCCTACCTTCCTAGTAGTTACACGGCATCTTTCGTGTGACTCACTCTCTTGTCTTCCTCTTCCCAGCCTTCTCCTCATCTGGTCGCCCCACCTATGCTTCCTGCATGGCTACATCCTTGCCTGTCCATTGGCCAAAACAGCTTTATTCATCAACCAATAGGAGAAACATATATTCACAGCCTACAGATGTGTGCGATTTCAGGGTTACTGAAGAATAGCATGGCAATGTCTAAGACTGGCTCCAAAGAAGGTATGTGTGATGGTGGGCATGACTCGGATGGATGAAAATATGAAGCCAAGTTCTGAAGATGAGAGCGGTGTGTGTGCTCTCCGTTTTCCGGACTCGAAGCACATCCAGGAATAGCGATTCCACATGCTCAGCCACTTTGAAGCTCACCGCTGAGATACCAATTTAATAGCGATATGAAGGATCTAGACGTGGCAGCTGGTAAAACGAACCTGCCCAGTGCCCGTCCAGTTTGCTTTATGCGAACTCTGCTGCTTGTTAGTAAGGCAGTCCTAGAACAAACAGCTGTAGACCTAATACACAAGTCTGGCACCTGCCCAACCCTCCTTCCCTCAACCCAGTCTTTTTCCAGTCCCAAGTTTTGTCTTTTTAGGAGGTCGTGTAGCTGGGGTCGTGCAATATTCAGGCTTTGGAACTTGTTCCCTTTCATTTCTTAATACACATCTGTCTTGCCTTGGTGTCTTCCTTGCCTTGATAATTGTCTGTGAATCTGTAATGACGGCCACACCCCTTTGGGCGTGGCTTCAGGCGGACGGAAACATGAGGCATGGTCTCTCCCCAGTGGGCTCCTCCTCTTGGGTCAGCAGATCCAATCAGAAGGGCAGAGAAGCCCCCACCCTGTGGTTCTTTGTTATTGTCTGTATAAGTGTTCCCTCATAAAACACCCATTTATCATTCATCTCCCTGGGTCTAGTGAAATCATTACACCCTGGCCTTCAGTCAACTTGCTGCAAGCTAGGGTTATCTGTGCCGTGGGAAACACAGTTGGAAAAATGCCTTCATAAGAGGGGCCTATAGACAAGCCTGTGGGGCATTTTCTTGATTGGTGATTAACGGGGAAAGGCCCAGCCCATTGTAGGTGATGCCGCCCTGGGCTGGTGATCCTGAACGCTACAAGAAAGCAGGCTGATGCCCCTTTCAGAACGAAGAAGAAGTGGATGGGGGAGGTAGATGGGAGGGGGGAAGGGAACAGGAGGAGAGGAGGGAGGTGAAAGTGGTTGGTATGTAAAATAAATGAAATATATATATATATAACTTGAAGGAAGGAAGGAGGAAGGAGGGAGGAAGGAAGGAAGGAAGGAAGGAAGGAAGGAAGGAAGGAAGGAAGGAAGGAAGGAAGGAGAACAAAGCAGGCTGAGCAAGCTAGGAAGAGCAAGCCGGTAAGCAGCATCCCACCCCCCATGGCCTCTTCTTCAGTTCCTGCCCTGACTCCCTTCAGTAATTGACTGTGATATGGCTGTATAAGCAAAACTTTTTCTCCCCAAGTCGCTTATAGTCATGGTGTTTCATCAATGCAATAGAAACCCTAACTAAAGACAGTATTCTTGGAGGTGTGTAGTCTGCGTCTTGATTAAAGGTTTAAGTGACACCCGTCCACCTTAACAGTGTCGTGCTGAAGATGCTCTAAAGTCTCTGTGCTCCCCCAACCCCTCCCTCCCCACTTAACCTCTGTGCTCCCCTAACCCCTCCCTCCCCACTTAACCTCTGGTCTTTTCACTGTCATGGAAGTTGTGCTATTTCTGAACCCTCATACAAGATGTCCCCCAGTCTATCCATTCTTCTGCCAAAGGACATCTTGGTTGTGTCCAAATCTTGACTGCATGTGGTCCTCAGGAATATAAAATGAATGAGACATTAAGACCAGCATCTGGGGAGCCTACCATCGATTTGTAGGAACAACAGGTATTATTTACTGAGCCCACAGCGTGCCAGGCAGGCCCTATGCTTTATCTTCTATCTGAGTTGCTCATTTTATCCTTACAGTTCATCCAACAGGGAGGTCTTCTCTATGTTTTCCATGTTAGAAAACCAAAGCAC